GTTCTTAGCTTGGTCAGCTTCAGCACATTAGTTTGCTGGTTCAGCACATTAGTCGCTTTGCTTGTTGGGGCTGAAAGGCAACTTCTAAAGCACAGCTGATCGTCTCATGGTGCTCGAGTTAGTAAAGCAGGCGAACCACAGAAGCAGTAAGACAAGGCAGCGGCTGTTCCAATTTGCCATTTTGGGCTCTGCGCCTCATGTTTTCAGCCTCCAAATGCTCCGTTTGAGACCCGTTCAAGGATGTGGGGATCGCCAAAGCATATCGCTGCCGATCACCACCTGAAACATGATGCGCAGAGACCAAAAATGGGGCGTGCGGAGGCCTAAAACACGATGTGCAGAGGCCAAAAATGTGATGCGCTGAGGCGGCGATCGGCAGCAATGTGCTCTGGCAATCCCAGCAGCCTTGAACGGGTCTCAAACGGAGAGTTCAGAGGCTGAAAACACGAGGCACAGAGCCCAAAAACGCAAGCCATTGTCTGTGGCAATCTCTGCAGCCAGGAAGGACCCGCGGAGGCTGAAGGGTGGGGGCCAGTGGGTGGGGAGGGCTACATTTGGCGTATAAGACACACCCAATTTTTCAGCCTCTTTTAGTGGGGGAAATAGTGCATCTGATACTCTGAAAAATATGGTATATTTGCCTGCTACGTTGGTATTCCTTGGATGAAATCTAATTTTAGGAGTACATTTCTGCTTCAGTAACAGATCTTTTCTTTCTCCAACCTTCTGCATGTCCTCAAAATCTTTTCATAAATCAACTGCAAAAAAGCAAGGAAATCTCCCTCTTCTTTTTAAAAAAAAAGATTTAAAAAAATGAATAAATGTGGTTAAAATTGTTGTCATCCCCCCAAATATACTCCTCTTGACTAGGGAAAGAAATATTTTTAAGAAAAGCAAGGTAGCCTTAGGGATGAGTAAACTTTAAAGGTAAACTTTAAAAAATGGTGAAAGAATGGCACTAGATGTTTATAGAAATATCCAGTATATTTATATTTCCTTCCAACACAATTTCTAACAATAGAAAAATATAGTAAGAATAGTGTGTTGCGATAAAAACATCCTCTCATGAAAAAAAACCACAATTTAACGTTTGTGCTATTCAAATGTTTCTTCGATTATCAAATGAATAATCAGCCATTTTCACTTAAAGTTGGAAAAAATAAATGATAAAAAGTTTTGAATAACTAAGTTCCCTTTTAGCTGAAGAAATAGTGTCAAGCAGGTTCAAGACTTCCTAATATAAAAACAGCATTTAAGAAAAAAGCATCTAATGAAATACATTACTTGTTCTTTGTTTGGAAGGAAGCACTGATGAGAAATCCATGCAAACCGAGCCAACTTGAGTTTGTCCTCCCAAGAGGTCTTTGAGCTTTTCAGCTTCAGATGAATGCCAGAGTAAATTGCAGCCATGGAAGGAACACCTGAAAATTATTTAAAGCTGAATATTAATTATGTTTCTAGCCAAATTCTCATAACACCTCCTTCAAACTGCTGTGTATATGTTCTGGTCTGCAATACAGTTGATACAGGTTGAAAAAGGGAAGTTCTATCATTCAGTTCTCATACCTGCTAAGAATTCGTTGATGGTACAGATAGTCCTCAACTTATAACCACAACTGTGACCAGAATTTCCATTCCTAAGCATATTGTCGTATCACATGATCACAGGGATGCTAAAACAAGTCACAAGTGTGAGGATCGGTCATAAGTCGCTTTTTATGCTAATGTAACTTTGAACAATCACTAAATGAATGGTTGTAAGTCAAATACTATTTGTAGTCATTCACAAGTTTGCTTTTACACTGCCTGTCCATCATTGTAATATTGGGATAAAAATAAAGAACAAATGCTAATCAACTTTTAAGGGTTATTCCAACACCGCTGGCGGGGGTGGGGGGGCAATTCTGATTTTTTTTTTGTACTTAAGAAATAAAAAGAGAGCATCTGCTAAAGGAAAACATAATCTCATAATAAGAGATGCCTAGATTTCCTTTCATAACCATTTTAGCAGAATAAGCAATGTTTTGAAGGATCTTTCCTGATTAGAATCAAGCTGTAAGCCAAGGGAGGGCAACTATGGCCCTTTTATGACATCTGGACTTCAATTTCCAGAAATCCTGAGGCAGCCACTCTGGGAGCTGAAGTTCACAGGTTGTAAAGGCATTATAGTTGCCCACTCCTGTTGTAAAGTACCAAGAGACATCTGATACAGAAACAGAATAACATAATTGGAAAGGACCTTGGAGGTCTTCTAGTGCAACCCCCTGTTCAAGCAGCAGACCCTATACTATTTCACACAAATGGCTGTCCAGTCTCTCCTTAAACGTATCCAGTAATAAAGCACCCACAACCTCTGAAGGCAAGCTGTTCCACTGGATAATTGTTCTGTTGGGAGATTTCTCCTTAGTTCTAGGTTCGGAAGAGTGTTCGGAGACTCCAGCTGGTCCAGAATGCAGCTGCGCGAGCGATTGTGGGTGCACCCCGGTACA